TTGTGGAAAGCCTGAAAACAGTTAGTTTTCTCGGTAAGACATGCAAAGACGCAACATTGCACCAAGGTTCTTTGCATGTGGAGCAATGCCATATAGTTCGATGCGGTTGCAACCGTGTGATGCAAAGTGCAGAACGAACTTTGGTTCCATTAATCGGCATGTGAGCAACTTTACGTAACTCCTTTCGAGTGGTACCTTGAATCGATTTGGTGAAACCTCAGTGATTCGTCTTCTTGATGGGCTAGGCATTGCTGGATCCTAACCAATCAATAGCATTGCCTCCTGTTCAGTTGATATAGATAGAACATGGTATTCACTACTGAAAACTGAACATGAAAATGGTAGTTTTAATATCAATTAATGAAAACATCTTGTAACTCATTTGTATACTAATATAACCCATTCATATGCCAACATCAGTATGTCATTGAGATGAAAGATATGTAAAAATTCGATATTTTTTCAATATAGCTATATATATTTCTTTTCTTCTAACGTTTTTCCAAACAAAGTGTCACTGTCAAGCTATTGGATTTTTCTTTTAGGCTCCCTAATAAAAATGAGATATATTGAAATAATCTACGAAGCGCAGATACGGCCTTTTCTAGAATACTGTTCCCACATATGGGGTTCAGCACCAAAACATACGCTGATGCTCTTAGAGTCCATCCAGAGAAGAGCCATCCGCCTAGTGGGTGACGCCACACTCATTCACTCACTCTTTAACTTCATTGGAACACCGTAGAAAGGTCGGCGACCTTTGACTTTTCTATCGATACTTCCACGGGAAATGTTCTTCGGAAATTTCTGCTATCATCCCTTCACTAGCAATAGCAGTCAGACGAACTAGACAAGCCCAGTCAGCACATCCTTTCGTTGTCAACCTCGAAAGATGTCGAACAGCACTTTATCAAAACTCCTTCATCCATAGAACGGCTAGGCTCTGGAATTCATTGCGTGAAGAAGTATTCCCAACAACATATAATCTCCAGAAGTTCAAAAAAAAAATCCAATACCTACCTCCTATACCTATCCTCCCTAGGAACGCATGATGTTCTCTGAACATTATAGGGATTCCCTTTCGTGCGCTCCAAGCGATAAAAAAATACTCATATTTTCATTTTATTGAAACGAGGAGAGAAAATCCCAAATAATCAAGTATAATGTATAATAGTGTAATTTGTAGATTTTTGAAAAAAAAAAAAATTTTGGACAGGTATATTGCCAAAGTGTATCTTGAAGATTAACTAATTTTTCAATTGAGTTTCATAACAAATGAGTGCAATACAAAATGGATTCCATGATCTTCCAATGATGAAGCTGAACATTATATTTGAATAGTTGTTTTTGTGATTGGCGCAATATGTCTTCTTTTGTTGCACAAACCATAAAGTTCGAATTATATATCACTGTCAGAATTTGGAACAGTTTTCAAAGTTCCACAACAAAATATTCAAATTCAAAACTGAGAACTGGAAATCAATTGAAGAAACTGTTGTCACTAATACTGTTCATGGATATCTATTAATAAACTCTCATTAATTGATTAACATTTATGGTTACCGATCATGAATTGATCTCATGATTTTATGTCCAGAAAATATTGACGATCGGGGAAAAAATATATTTTCATTTGTCATGTTTATAAATAAATGTAAGTTGACTGAAATATGTATAATATTCCAATTGAATTTTTTATCAATAACTTGTCGAAAGAAATCACCATGGTAATGGCTTCGTGATTTTACGACGATGGATAATAGTAATAATTTTCATATATCAAAGTATCGGACACTCTTTTCTATAGCCGAGCTTGTCCTTAACAAATCAAAATGTTCTATGCTTCGTATATTCATCACACGACTGCACAAATATCGTTAAACTGAAGCAAACGGTTCCTCTTCATCTGATTTCAAAAAATGGGGATTCTTATTTAATAGTCACCCAGGTCATGCAATCTAATGAATTTTTGATTGTGGGCATATTTAATAGTATTTTATAACAATTTATTTTATATAATAAGTGTTATGAACGTGATTTTAGTAACGACTATTTTAAGCACGAGCGTAGCAGAGCGTAGCGAGTGTGTAATAAACGAGGGACTAGAAGAGTTTATAAACGCGTTTCATACTATACTTTTACTATCATGCTTAGCATTGAATGAATTGCCCACAAAGATGCGAGCTTCATATTTACACAGAGTTCTTGGAAATATGCAAGTACTTACCTACAACATTCTCTCCAATTTCATTCTCGTCTACATTTCGCATAGATTTTTATTGAAGAATTCTGATGCAAACAGAAATTGTTTGAATAATTCTGATTGCAACAAAATTCGAAAATGACGAATGACAGGCCGGACAGGACTCGAACGACTTAAGGCGTGTTTAGTGCCTCGAACATATCATTTTACGCTCTTTGAAGAGTAAAAACACGCCTGTCAAGTTGTTTAACAGCTGAACAACAAACATGAGACACATGAGAACTAGTGCAGACATACATGGAATGAATTTCCATGAAATGGGTTTCGGAATCTGAAGCTTTAACAAACCTTGAAAAGTCTTATCGTCTTTGGACGACTCAAATTAATGGTAATCATCATTCTAGAATTCTTACAATTCGTTTCCGAACATAATATATTCGAAATCATTTTCGCGGGGAAATCTGAGAATGGTGACAAATCTTAATTATCAGTGGTGACAAGCCTGTCCTCACTCTTTGAAGGTCAGCGAATGGATTAGACAAGTCTAACTTATAGAATAGAATATGTGAAAAGGAGAGTTTTAGCATATTTTTTACTTCCCGGTCACTTCCGGTTTCACCTGAAATAGCTCCAGTCTTGAATTTTCTAATGGATATTATAACCTTTCTGAATTTCTGAGACAATTTTGGATGAGAATATTACATTTCTGAGACCACTTCATTTTTTAGAGTCACTTTTAATATTGCATCTAGGTGACCATGATCAGACGTAAACTTATCTAAAGACCTCAGAGGTATTGTCTGAAAATTATAATTTCAAAGTTTTAGTGACTATTATGATAGATAGGAAGAATAAAAGTTGACAAAATCAGATTTTAGTGTCTATCTATTATTTTTCAAATGGCAAATATTTTTTGACAAGCACTTTCCGAATGAAGGATTTTTCGACGAATCTAACGATACTAGTTTATTTGCGATTGGATTGAAAATGAGGACATCAACTCAATATTATTCAGAAGAAAACTGGACATATATTCATTCACACTTGTCAAGTGTGCCATGGATAGCCATGATGCATAATATTTTGCAGTTATTTTTTTCGAATTTTGTTTGGAAAACACTTTCACTCTTCATATTGATTATGCATCATTTGTATAGAAATTTGAACTGAAATATAAAGAAAATAAAGAAACTTACTGTCTGTGCTCATGAAGGTTATGTTACTGTCATTACTTGAGTATTTTGTTTTCCAAAGAAGACTCGAAAAAAATAACTGCAAAATATGCATCATGACTATCCATGGCACACTTGACAAATGTAAATGAATAAACATTCATTATTTGCCTCAGTAATATTAAATTTATGTTCTCATTTTCAATCCAATTGCAAATAAACAAGGATCGTTCGAGTCGTCAAAAAGTCCTTTTTCTAGGAAGAGCTTGTCAAAAAATGGTTGCCATTTCGAGAATAATTAATAGTTAGACACGGAAATGTAATTTGGTCAACTTGTCGTCTTCCTCTCTATCATAGTACTCACTAAAACTTCAAGATAATACTTTCCTGACATCACCTGAGGTCCTTAGATAAGTTTACGTTCGATCATTGCCAGCTAGATGCATTAAAAGTGACCCTGGAAAAATAAAGTAGACGTAGAAACTTCTGAACATCAAAAGAAAAACAAGCAAGAAGAAATCGATCCACCACACTTTTTATAAAAATATTCACTAACAAGTTACCGGTTTCTGTACTACTGCAATCATCAGACAAGGGTACCAAACAATATGGAACACAGAATATACATCAATCAATCATGGTAGTGTAGGAGATGATTTTCGTCGATGAGAGCAAAATGTTCCCGATTCTATTAACCCGTGCATGAATATTTTCAAATCGATTTCACTCAAAAATGATACATCTTATCGATACGGAACAAGAGCACGTTTTTTGAAATGGTGTGGATTTTGATAATCCGAGATCAAATTGTCGAAAAATATGTATACCCTGTATTATACACTCCTGAATGAAACTTTGAAATGATTTTATGTTTACCACATTGGGCATGGAAAGTTTAGTTCTTGTACCAAATTGCATCATTTTATCACGTGGCGTTTCGGAAATATTCAAGAAATATCATCTTCAGGAACCCCTTTTCGGGGGGTCGTAGCTCCCTTAGGAGACATTTCTCGACTCTTGTTCATTGGAACTTTTGTCATTTCTAGGATTTTTTCCTCGTCTCTATAAATAAAAATATATAAATATTTGAGAGCTGAAATCAAAAGAGAAACAAAAATTGCATACAATAACTATATAACGAATTTGGAAATACTTCACAAAAGTGAACCCAAACAAATTCTGGTAGGTGCTTCATAAATTTAAAAAATTATAACATTACAGGAATCCCTTCAGAAATGTATTTGAATAATCACCCTATCACAGGGGGAGAAATTCTTGGAGAAGCTTTTGCGCAACATTCCAAATCAGCTTTTTAGATCATGAAACAATGATTCCGATCACTGAAAAAATAGTTTCAAATATCTGTCCCTACCTGAATTTGAGAACACCCGAGGAACCTGAAAAGGCAATAAAGGAATTGAAAAACAAAAAAAATCTACAGGTCCAGATATGATATCAAGTTGTATCCTAGAAGAATATAACGAATTCTTGATGAACCGGTTGACTTCAATTTACAATGAAGCTATTAGGTTACGAAAATATGAGAAATATTCCATGTTGAACTAAGTGCAACAATTTGCTTTTTGGACAATTGGATATCATTTGAACATTAGTAAATTTTTCAGGTAGGGAAATGCGTGGTGATGACCGAGACAAGTTATGGAGACAACTCGAGTCAGAAATTTTATTACAGAGACACAAAACGGTTGTGCGAGCTTGCAAGCGAAATTGCTCTCTAAATAACTCTGGTAATTGCCCCAAACCAGAACCAGAAACGATCACAGAAAATACTGAACACTTTGGTGATATAAGAACGGTCATGGTGAAAAGACAACCTGGACAAGGTTTGGGAATCAGTATAACTGTGAGTATTTCATTTCATTGTTTGGTATGATGTAAATTCATAGATAGCATTACAGTCTGTATAATATTTCTTTGCGTGTGACTGAAATTAGCATAGACCTACGCGCAACTTGCTATCCTCTTCAGACTTGCATATAGAGCAGCAATGTCTATCATGACGTTTGTTGACATAAGTTACGACATCGTTTTTGAACTCAACGGTTTAAAAGCTTGAGGTGTTCGTATGTCGAGACACATTTGAATTGGCGAATTCAGAGGCGTGCAGTAGGTGCTGAAATGACACCGTTTTGCGTGGCCATTGTCAAATATTCACCATGCCAGGAAGACGTTTGAATTCGCAAGCACGAAGTCTTGTATCGAATTTGTGAAATAAGAGAGAAAGATAATCATGGTCCTTTAATCCCGTTTACTTATTTCATACAACAGGTAAATCATAATAATTCTTCCTGATCAAAATAGTCAGACCTTACTTCAAGAATATCATCCTGATGTACACAATTTTAGCGTGTCGCTGATGCCCTCAATATTAGTCTGCGGACAGTTTCGAGTAATAAAGTACGTTCTGTGAGAAACGAAAATTTGAGTACGCCAGGGAAATTTAGGACTAAAAAAAACCCAAGACAGCAGATCTGGATGATAATATGAAAATGGAAGTACGCAATGTGATCTATATATACTATGTGTGCAGAAAGTAAGTGATTTCATTTGATACTTCTTGACTACCTCCAACTGACTATTTTACAGAAAACCACATCACTCTTGGAATTTTGAAAGAAGAACTCAGAACTAAACATATTCTTGACGCAAGTATAGGCACATTGAGCAAACTTCTCACAAATGTAGGATTCAAATATAAAAAAGAAGACAGACGGTTATTGATTGAGAAGACGGACATATCTATAATGAGAGCAGAGTTTTTCAGAAAGTTTTATGAAAATCGCAATTCTAGTTACCCTAGACAAATCGTCTTCTTAGATGAAACTTGGATATTTGTGAAAGGGAAAAGGATGAGATCATGGCAAGATCACAGTACAAAAAGTGTTCGTAAACCAGAAGGTTATGATGGGAAACGATTTATTGTACTTCATGCTGGTCACAGTGGTGGTTTTGTGGAAAATGCTGCATAGTAATATACCAAATACCTAAAACGACTCAACAGTGTTCGGCTTAGCCACGACCACAGAATACCTCACAAAAGCATTAAATAGATGTGTATATCGGGTCATATACCAACCCATACGTATATACATACCAAAGTTCTGATACATGTTTTGCCTTCAATAAATTGACGAATTAAAGAGTTCAAACTTGAAATATATACCAATCCTATGTTTTATTGAATGTTTCTTAGTCAAAATTACCTGGAATAGTGAATAAAAATTTTCTGAATATTATTATTTATTTTAACCCAATTTCTGAAGCAGCACGGCACTGCTTCACTGGAACATATGACCTTGAATTGATTTGATTCGTTTTTTGAAGTTGTGACGTATGCGCAAAGAAATATTATACAGACTGTACATAAAAATCCCTTGGTAATAATAGTTGATGACAATTCACATATGACATGCTATGGAAGTGATGACAGCTTGGATACAAGAAAGTTGAAAAATATTTTATTTACAACCATATATGTAATGTCATTACTAACGTCATTGAAGGTTGGGAAGTGTCACATTACACACCTCTACTTCCCGCCCTCACTTCATTTTTGAATTCAGCTTAAAAAGTATAGTATGGGTATACATACCTACAATAATTCCGTTTCGAAAACAATATTGAAACACCATCTTCAGGAATATTCAAGAGAATCCACCATCCTCAGGAGCAGTCATATTTCGAACTATTGGTAATTTGTCGTTAAATGTAATATTCAAGGTATGTTCAGAACAAAACAGAGATTCATTAATTCTGATCGAAATATGATGGTTGTAAATAAAATAGTATACAAACCTCGGTAGGAAGTTTCATTCCTGTCTCGAGATCATAGCTAACCTCGACGCTTTGCGTCTCGGTTAACTAACTAATCTCACGACAGGAATGAATCTCTTCCCACCTCGGTATGTAACATACTATACACAAGTTTCTTGTTTCTTGGACGAATATTACCTTCGCTGAATTTTGTGAACAAAACTCTTTTGATTTTAGGGTGGTAGGGAACATGGTGTTCCGATTCTTATCTCAGAACTGGAGCATAATGGCCCGGCAGCTCTTTCTGAACAGCTTTATATCGGTGACGCCATTTTGAATGTGAACGAGATAGATCTCAGAACTGCTTGCCACAGAGAAGCTGTCAATATACTGCAGCAACAGACGGGAGATTGCAAACTGCAAGTACAGTACATAGCAGCTGATGACAGTGATAATTCTTTGGAAGAAGATGGATTCCATTTCAAGTGAGTCTGATTGTCATATAATTCAGCGTGACATATTCCATTGAGTTTCAAACTCTAGCTCTGCAAATTAGTTTGTAAACTAATTTTTCTGCGAGTACTACTGTGAAATGTCATTATTGTACAACTGAATACTATCGGACAATTTGAATATGTTTATTTTACTGACCTATAAACAACAAATGGAATAGCAATGCTAGTTCTGCACGTATTCGCATATAATGAGCCATATGGCACAAAAAATTCAACACCTACCTCCTCTCCGCACGATGTTCCACGAACCTTATAGGAATTTCCTTTAGTGCGCCCAAACAGATATTAGAAAGCCTATGTTCTATGTTGAGTGCAGCTCAGGTCCGTTTTTTTTCTTATGCAGAAGTACGGTGAATACAAATTTTTGTCAGGCGTTATAACAGTTTCTTCCCATAAGAACACATCTGCAAAAATATTAGCTTTCTCTTCCTATGTTGCTGTTAATATGCTGTCGATTTTGGAGGGTATGGGAATGAACTATACATTGTTTTGAAAAGGTTCATTTGCTAGTGTATATTATTTCGAGTTTTCGGAGAAAACTCCACTTTTGACTAATTTGACTGAATTGACTGATAAAGTATAATTCACTATTTCAAAGATTCGCAAAATAAAAATGCCCGAATTTGAGGTTACGTTAGTTTGCATTTTGTTCCCATTCATTAGTTGAATGAATATTGCAAATTAAGTGGACTGAACAATATGTTGAAAAGCAGGCTTTTGGATAAAGGAAAACTGGGTGGAAATCAAAGTAAAAACAACACAGGTAGCTCAGTGTTTCAGAACGTGTACTCGACTGAAGAAACGAAAAACAGTGACATCTATACACGAGTCTATACATAAACTGTACAACATCTCACAGTGTTCTCTAACTCTAAAAGAATCAACAGACAAGTGAAGATCACAGAGTAGGTATTTGAGATGTAGGTATATATTGTAGTCCATGCATATACATGATAAAGTGTTTATGAAATGCTACTCCCCTCTTGTTCTCGAGAACCAATCAGAATCGGTCATTTTCACGGATTCTGTATTCCAGCGATATTTTTGGTTTGCTAAAAGGACCCTGTACTCCAACAAGGGGGAAATTGGCTTTCGGTGAATTTGCTCGAATTTTCGATATATTGTAGAATACGTAATGCTGATCAGATGACCCAATTATCAACGATCTGAACTCAATAGTTGGCCAGCAAAATGACTTATCCACAGAATAAACTTGAATAACTTGAATTTACATCTGAAATTCAGTCAGTGCCGGTTTTAGCACTACCAGCGCCCTGGGCAAGAATTCTACGGCGCCCCCTAAAAACTAATATATTTCACTTTTCTAGCCTTTGTATTGGCAAAATCTTTCATTAGATCAACAAAGTCAATATTTTCAGCAATTTTATTTTCAATTGACAAAGTTGTCAAGTTTGTCAATCTAGATTGAGATATTGTCGATCGCAGATAAGTTTTTTTATCACATTAGGCTCAGGAAAACTGAAAACAAGCAACCATTACAGGTATATAAAGTCAATAATACTCGCAATGCTAATCATACATTTTGATAGTTCTTTTTAGTTGCGATCTTTTATAAAATTCAAAACATATGCAGGGGTAACCAAATTGTGATTAGGTGAGTTTATCACACCACATATAACTTGTCAAAGGTCGAGTTGTTTCGAAATTTGTTTTATATTGTACAAAAGTACCAAGATTTGTAGTACTCATTTAACTTCAAATATTTCATTAACTGAAATGAATGATGAAATTAAGATGTGGTGTGATTACTGATGCGCTTTTGTTTCAGAAATTTGACTCGGCCTCTCGAGAACAGCGAGAGCATTGCGGTTCCGTCGATCTTCTAATAGATGGCAACATTGCACAATTGTGAAATCTGTCAGTTTTGAAATTGTCGCAGATTTTTCGAATTCAGAGTTGAATAATCCCATTTGCTATTTTATTTCCACTCGTCACAGCAGCAATAGCACCATCACCATCTAGCAGGAAAATGTAGAATCAACGTCTCGCTCGTTGTGGCGTAGAGAAATCATAGTAGGCGGTCGAGTGATTTTTCTGAAATTTTCAATACGTAATAATGGCCGAATACGCGCACCATATCTTACTTTCATCATTCTGAAATGAATGAAAAATTAAACCTGATTTTTTTCTGTAGAAGCTATTGGCACGTGGCGGGCAGTTTCACCAGCTTGACGCTCAACATATTGAATTATCCATGTGGCACTAAGATTAGGTCCAAGCTTAGGTTCAATTTCTAGTTCCTCAGCCAATTCCTCTGCAGTTAAAATAGCGATTTCAGAGTTAGTATTTCTATATTCTTACGAGAAAGTGTAGCATTCTTTCAACATTTCTGTGCATTTACTGAGATCTATATCTGTTGATTGTGAGATGCGCTAATGACGTTGATTTGAAAAATTTGAGGAATTTATAGAGGTTTTTGCGGCGCCCCTTTTCATGCGGCGCCCCTTTTCATCCGGCGCCCTGGGCAGTCGCCCAACCGCGCCCTACCCTAACGCCGCTACTGAATTCAGTTAGAGGTAGGTACTTTAACAATAATTATTATTTGAAGTGTGTCTGTTCATTTTTTCATAATATTTCCCAAGATTCTCACATGCAGCATCAATTGAGTTATTCTTCGTAGTAGATATTGGGCTCTACATCAAGATTATTCGGAATATTCTACATCAATTTCTTAAAAATATTCCAGCAGTATAGAATTGGATCTTTCATCACTCATTCTAGGAAATCTTAAGCAATGATCACTACATCCGGAATCACCCTGTATACTTCAGATATTTGCAGAAAGGTATGACATCACAAAGAATCTAGTTCCTCACCAAGTGTTACGAGGTTCAAATCATCTGATGGATATGCTAATAGCAGGACGGGTAAGGTTTCTTGGAAACTAAAATATCTTGTGTATAACATCTGATTCAAGAGATTAAATTATTTTGAATCAATATTGATATCAGTATACTAACAAATGTCTAAAAATGAATGAATTTCAAATGCTCACTTTTTTGGAAATGATTGAAACATTTGCTATTTTTGAACCATCTGTATATCGTGAGTAGGTGCAGATATCATTGAACTCTATGGTGGATTTCCACAGGCCACATGAGCAAACGGGGAAGGTATAGTCGTTTTGGTTTTAATATTCAAGAAGAAAACTTCATAATGGCCATTAGAAATTTTGAAAAAGGCAACTTCAGCACCCTGTATAATCCAAACTATCGAGTTTAGACCGTTGATAATTCGGTCATCTGATGAGCATCACGAATTCTACAATATATCAAAAATTCGAGCAAACTCAGACTTGCTCTACCAATACAGAAGCCGAATTGACCCACACGTGACCAACTAACCTCGTTTTTCAGCAATACAATTTTTGAGATTTATTATAGCGTCAATTATGTTGAAAGCCAGAATGATGGATACAGTGTGCGCAACACTCGCGAGGCGCTCGTTCAATGTCTCAATCACGAAATATTCATACGAATACAACTCGTGATGCTATTTTTCCTGGAAATATTCGTTGATTTACATACTCCAGCTTGCTGCCTTAATTTTGCTCATGACATTGATTCTAAAACGTCTCGATTACGGCTCGAAAGTTTTGATTGTTCTAAAATTGTTCTCATCCATCATTCGGTTGCCCCCTTACGAGCAACCCTCAGAAGTCTTCAAGAGACTTGTGCGAGCAAGGAATGACGGGGGTCTTACCTTTTAACGTGTGATCCCAAACACTTTCTTAGGCCATCAGAAAAATTTCTGCGGTCGTGATGGGAATCGAATCCACCTACCGGTAATCCAAGTGGATAGAACATTGACGCTTTAATCACGAGGCTACGCTGGCCTACCTAACAATGTCCTTCGCGAAATTATTAGGCAACAAGCTGTCATAACAATCGCCGAATATTTCCGACAAAATAGTATCACTTGTGGTATTTTATATGAGAATAATTCCTCCAAGCTGGATGTATGTGCGCTTCGATCATAAAACAGACTAGATGAGTAATCCATAGCCCTGGCAACACAGTTTGTTTGGAACCAACATCTATATTGTTCATTTCATGCTAAACAAGGATAGCAACACCTGATTCTCCCAGCACCAGTGCCGTAGTGCGAAAAAAGCTCGATAGTTGATATCATTGTCTGCTAAATATGGAGAAAAAATCTAGTGAGCTGGAGTATCTGGTCTGCCCAAACAGGGGAAATCACCTACAGCGTTCTGTGGCCGATACAGTAGTACCGCCATACGGTCAACTCGAGGAAACACTCAGTTCAATTGTTTCCTGTCAAACCTACATAACCTTAAAAATCGTTAATGAGTTGAGCCCTTAGATTGAGCCTCGCTCCCTCTCAGCGGTGCTCTCGGCAGTCTCGGCCGATGGCATAGTTTGTTTAGTTTTAGTGAGTTGAGTTCAGTCACGACATTCGGACATTCACGGGACACGGTCACTCAGTCACTCAACAATTCAAAAATAGTTCACGCAGATGATGGAGATATGAGATATGACAAATACGTAGAGACCGAGCCCCCTTACTGGGCATACTGGCCCTTACAGCCCTGGACGAAATACGGGATTCTGTGCATATTGATCATGATAATGATGGTGTGAAACGTGGGAACATAAATTAATAGTGAAAGCAGCTCGGAAAGCAGTGATTCCTATTTTATGGTCTGTGCAGTTTTTTGATGTGCTCAGCTGTGAATCAATTGTGGAAATGAAGTTTTTCATCAGCAATAAGCAAATATATGGTTATAATATAAAGAAAGGAATCATGAAGAATCTTATCCACAGATCTTATCTTGTATCTTGCATGAATACTACCTTGTATGCAGGAAAACATATTTATCAAGGAGAAGATCCACATCTTTCAGATTCGAAACTATGGAAACTCAAGGAAAGTATAATTACTACTGCTTCAGTTTTCTGCTGAGCCTTAAGAACTAGGTACCTAGTGCA